TTTTTTTGCTTTTTCGACACCTTATAGAGATTTTTGCAAAATCTCCCATTCTTGTTTTGCGGTTTTCGCATCAGAAATTTTTTCAAAGGTAGATTCGTCTACTCCTTGAAAAATAAAGAACAATGCTCTTTTATCTTTTTTCTGAGATTCCTTCAACACCTTCTTTTCTTCATTGGCCAAGGCTGTTTGTGCTGCTGCATTTTCAGGCTCGGTGTAACCATCCTCGATGATATCCCAACAATCTTGGGAGCCTAGTAACGCCTTCATTTGAATGCTCCAATTGTCGTAATTAATAATTTTTTTCAATCTCGGGATTTGTGGTTGAATCATATTGGACATCTTTTCCACCACGTTAAACTCGAACCAAGCTCTGAGGCCACTTGTTGGAAGCGTAGATGGGCTCACGATAATTTATAACACTCAAACTTTTTATTTATACGAAACAAATTATGTTACAACGACACTCTCAATATTACAATACTACAATACTAGTTGTTTCTAGTTTACAAACTCACAAATATAGCTTTGCTAAGCTTTCTCACAATTCTCTCTATTTTTCTTTCTCTCACTCGTTATTCACTCTTTTCCTCACATGTATACATACTTGCTTTGCTCACATATACATATATATATATATATATATATATATATATATATATATATATATATATATATATATATGTAATAAACCGACATTGAAGATTGTAGAAGCTGCTCAATTTCTCTATTATTGCAGCCTTACATGATGAACATATTTGCTTGTCTTCATTTGCTTTCATTAAAAATCTTTGCCGACATACTAGTGCATTGCCACGTTATTTCCTTTGTTCTTAAGCATTAGCATGCTTCCAAAAGTTGCTGCCATTTTATAATTTTTTATGGGACCACCTAAGCTTTCTACACTCTTATTTGAGTTTGACTTCAACAGTTGTTGCAGTTGTGATTGGATGAGCTCGGCCGTTGGTACGGCGCCTTTATCCACTGAAACCAAGATGAACCTATCGGATGTGTCATCATGGTGGGGCTTGAAGGGGGCGTGGCGAACTCGTCTATCGATTGTAGTTCTTCGAACTTAGTGAAAGAAACTAATACTCTGATTGTTGGAACAACTGGGATGGCAACCTGAGTGCAACAACACTATTTTTAGTATAATTGATGAGACATCTATGACCAGCACATATTTGAACATGATAAAAAAGAACATACCTTGACGGAGAAGGTTCCGGCCAGAAGCTTTGTAGTGAAAAGTTCTCTTAACCAGCGAATCACCTTGACTTTGTTCGCAAGAATGTCTAGAAATGGCAGGACTTCTTCAGTTTGAAGTGAAAAGTTTAGAGAAATCCAAAGAACAAGCCTTAATCCTTTCTTATACTCGTTCTCCTTGCCACTATCCCGATGCCAATCACCACTCTTATGATCATTACTTCCCACAATTTCCACAGAATGTCCACCGGGTTTTATCCGACTCCTGGAATGAGAGTCTTTGAGTAAGTTGCTCACTTTTTCATCTACGGAAAAGGAACCTTTGGGCAGCACAATCTTTCTGTGTGTTTCATGCTTTGGCTCCCGTTTCCTCCATCCACCAAACCATCCTTTCTTTTCCTGTCTAGTCTATACAATTTTATAACCATTGGTGTCCTCAATAAGAATTATCCTAGACTCGTAACGACTATGACAATGCCCGATAATGGCATCGTCGTTTTCATTGTATATTTTCAAAGAATCCAAATTAAGAGAAACTTCAAGTTGTTTCCTTTCATCTTATGTCAATATCTCATCGAGCTCTTCACTTTCTGTTTGGTTCTCATTTGAAGCTACGAAGAACTCATTATCCGTCACGGCCCCAAGCACCCTTCTAGATTTGATGCTAACAATGACATTGTGCATATCATACACCTTAGCCTTCCAGGAACCCACCATTTCAGTTTTCTCTTGTCGTCTCCATGTCACGTGTGGCAAAAGAACTGCCTGCATCACATCTATTCCGGGCCGGAATATAATAGTTTGAGACATTGCAACCACTTCTTGTTGAACCTCTTCCTCTGTTGCTTGAGAACCAGCACCATCGAAAGCATTTATCACCTATCCTTATGCAAAATCATACAAAGTGATCCATGAGGAACCTTTCCATCTTCGGATCTATTACCAAGAAAAATAATCTTCAGTCCATCGCTTCGGACATCATACCCTATGATTTTTGGAGTGGTCGTGAAATAGGAGGGTAAAGTATCTGATTTCCGTTCTTTGGTCAACGACTTATGGTTGTGGAAGATTGATTTAAGGAGAAAGCTTTTTGAGTGGGAACGTGGATTATGGGAGGAGTTTATGGGTGTGATTAATCGTGCAATCGTTGTTCGCCCTGTGTCCGACAGGTTAATATGGATCGGATGCCCTTCATTCTCTTACACACCAAGTAGTTTATGCTCAATTGTTGCTAGGGGAGATTCTATTGTTGACAAATTTTGGAACCTTGTCTGGTCTAACCTTGCGCCACCTAAAGTGGAAGCCATCGTCTGGAGGCTGCGATGCATAGAATCCCGACGTTGGTTGAGCTTGCGAAGAGGGGTTTAGGGAGTGTATGGTCAAGCCCTTGTGTGATTTGTGGTGAGGAGTTAGAGTTCGTTAGTCATTTGTTTTGCCATTGTATGATAGTGTGGAAGTTTTGGCAGCGGTGGTGCAGGTTATGGAACGTTGTTTTCGTATGCCCTGGTTCTTTACGTGCTATCATTGTCCTGTGGGAATCATTGTCGGTGCACTTATCTGTCAAACCAGTTTGGAGAATGGTTTTTTACGGTATCATTTGGTCAATTTGGCTTGGTAGAAATGATTGTATTTTTAATAACATTAGCTGGTGTGATGACATGATTTTTACTTTAGCTTTGCAAAGGATTGGTTTTTGGTGCCATTGCAAATGGCCTCAGAGGTTTATTTCACCTTCGGATTTTTTCAGGTTCTATCCTTCTATTATTTCATCCTTTTTTGGTATATGATTCATTGTGGTTCGGTGGTAGTTTGCCCTGGCTGGATTTGGGTCGTTGGCGTTCTATTATTGTTAGGGGTTGTTTGTTTTTAATTGCATATGTTGTGAGGCTGAGGGTGTTTGAGCATCAGGGGTAGTTTTTGAAAAAGGTGTTTTTGGCTTTGTTTGCTGGTTGACTGGTGGTACTAGGTGAGGCGTTGTTTTGTCTGGTTTTAGTTGATGTTTTGCTGGGTGTCGTTTTCCTCGCTCTGGGGGCTTGTTTGTATTCTCCTGTTCCTTTTAGGTTGATTGCGTTTGTGGCGCATTATTGTATGATTTCTGTAGTTTTGATGTGCTGGTTAATTAAGCGATGAGCGATGGTGTGTTGTTGCTCCGTTTAAGGCCATTCTGGTTGTGCAGGGCTGCTGCTGTAGGGACTGTTATGTGTATTATGCAATTGTTATTTCATTTCCCATAGTTGGTTGTAAGATTTTGTTATTGCTGCTGATATGTGTATTCTAGCATGTTCACTCTAAATCTTACTCTTTTTTCTTGATATAGATTTAGGAAGGTTTTTTAACGATAACTTGAGTTGTGACATACTTTATATATTTCGGTTATTTAATACAAAGTAAACCCCTTTTAAAAAAACAATAATCAATTTTAATAAACTTTAAAAGACTTTTATAATAATATAATAAATTTAATAATTATTTTATAACCTTCAAATAAAATTATAAATATTTTTGAAAGAAAAATAGACATACCAAACAAAGAGCTCGTTATTGTACCTAACAACAACCATGTGATGTGAGAAAAAAACTTCCAATTTCGTACCGTCTATTACTTCAATCTTGTTCTTCAAAGGTCGTGATTGGCACACACGTAATCTATGAGAAGTTCTATCGTGTGACATCTTAAAGTTAAAATAAGGTTTTATGTGTTTTTATTATTTAAATAATAAAATTAGTAACAAAATTACTTAAAATATTATTATTTTACCAAAAAAATCAATTTTTTTAACATTTTCGGTAAAAGTGCTCAATAATAACAAAATCGGTAGAAAAAATAACAAAATCGATGGCGTTTTTCCAAATCCGGTAAAACACCCAATAATAACAAAACCAGTAGGAATAATAATATTTTCGGTCATTTTTTACCCTTTTTTATTTAAATAATAACAAAACCGATAACGTTTTGTTTAACCGTATATTAAGACTGTCGAACATGACCATTTTCAGTAATCCAATTCTACCAATGTCCCAATTAATTTTCAATTTTTCTATATTTTAAAAAGTAAAACCTCATTTTAGTTATTTATTTATTTTATAATTAAAATAACACTATTGTTTCAAAATCGGAAAATCAGCAGGAAACAGTGCCGCCGTACAGCCGCGTAATATCTGATGTGGCATTATTCACCCATAGTTAAAATTAGGGTAAAGTCAATTAGAGGTTTTAATTGTTTAATTTTAAACAAATTAATTGATCATGTTAAAATTTAATTTGATTAATTAATTGATTAATTTAAAATCGATCAATTAATAATTAAGTTATTTTTTAAAATTGGGTTAACGATTAATCTGATTTGAAATTGATTAGTTTATCAAATTAACTGAAAATGATTAATATTTAATATATATGGATATGCTTTTATTATAAAATGCAAAACTCTTTTAATTTTACAGATTTAGAACCGAAAAAAATATATATAAATAAGATTGACAATAAAAAATAAAAATATATTTACTAAAAATAACAAGAAATTAATTTTATGAGAATGTTATTAGATAACATTTAGAGTTTTTGATATTTTGAGTAAAATATAAAATAATTGAGAAATTTTTAACCGTGGTTAAAGGATGTGACTTAAGAAAGGGAGAGAGGAAAACAGTTAGTGGCGGTTAGGTAACTTAGGTTTAGGTATTACATTGGTTAATCCAAAACCTAACTTTGATTTTGTATTTTGGGTTAGGCGACGACGCCGTTTCTTCTTTTCTCCTTTTGCTCGTCGCTCTATAAAAAACCGTTTCCTTGGAGCTTGTACTCTGACTCGCCCTGCTTCTTCTTCTAATACAACTTTTCTTTTTCTTTTCTCAGCCTTTTCTCTTTGTTTTCCTTTCTTGTCTGGGTTGTCTGTTTGGATAGTGAGAGAATTTTTGACTACAGAAGAAGCAGAGAAAGTTGCAATGGCGGTTACAAACAAGTGGGCTTTCGCCTCTTTAGCTCTTCTATTTTTGCTTCTTGTCGGAGCAATGGCCACTGCACGGACCGGCAACGCTTCCAGGTTTCTCTCTCTCTCTCCATCTCTCAGTCTCTCTTTTCGAACTTCAATTCTGAAGCTTTCTTTCTCTGCTACTTTTCATTTTCTTTTCCAATTCCAGTGAAAGAACGAAACAGAGTCGCCTCTGTTTATTTAATGATGCCGGATTTTTCTCATGCCCAAATCATTCTTTTTCCTTTTTTGTTTACTGGAACCGAGCAATAATCCAATTCATGTAAAGTATTCATTAGCTAGATTTTGAAATATAGTTTTGGAAAACGAATCTCATTCGCTAAAAGGAAACTGTAGTTTGATTTTAAGGAATCCATTATATATATATACTTCGAAACCTTCATTAACGCATATCAAATGAGATTTCACTGTACATTTTCAATATATAAACAGAAAGTGCCTCGCCTCTTTTTTTCTACTTGTTATACATTTTCTCTATTAATTTTTGTGTATATTTATCACTGTTTACAGCAATGTGGAAACGGAGAAGGAGCAGAGCTCAAAGAACTCAACAACTGCAGCAGCTAGGTAATCCACTAGCTTTCACTTTCTGTAAAAAAAATGATCATCTCATCTCAGCCGCCGTTTTGTCCTTTCGTTTACGTTTTCCGGTTGAACTGTTGGAGAAATGATGACGGTTACCATTTTATCCATCCAAACAATAAATTAACGACTCCCTAGCTGTTGAGATCCAGATCCTTGGATCCTAACCGTTTATTCCATCGCTACACTCCCTTCTCTCTTTGGTCAGAATAACAGAATTACCCTCCAAAACGGAATACGAAAGTACGTTTTGGTCATTTCCACAATCCTCGTCGGTGGTTCGCTCGCGTCTTCTTGTTCCACTACCGTTCTTTCCACGGTTTTGGGAGTCTCGGTGAACCTGCAGCTCTTGAGCAGTGTACTTGCTGCTGTTTTAACTATTTACATACTCGCGTTTAGAGATCGACACGTGTCTAGATTAATTTGTGGAAATTAATAATAATAAACATTATTTTATTGTGCTGCAATTTAATTATGACTATTTATTGGGTGATTTTCAGGTCCGAAGAGGTTGAGCCATTGAACGAGCATGCTGTTCCTGACCCAGAGGCAGTAGCAGCCGAGGTCGAATCTATCATTGCCATGTGAGAGAAATTTTATTTAATTATGTTAAAATATAAAATAATCATTAAAGTCATTGCATGTTGTTAATTTATCTCCACCGACGATAATTTCCTCTCCTTAACAAAAACCAGAAATCATAATTATTTGTTTACTATGACAGCTTGTGATTTTATATCATGTTCTTGTTAAATGTTGAGAGTAACATTTGATAATAATGGCTGCATGCACATTTGACATGATGGCAGGAATATCCGCAATGTGACTGAAAGGAGGAATTTGGGGTTCTTCACGTGTGGAACCGGCAACCCCGTTGATGATTGCTGGCGTTGTGATGCAGATTGGCAGAAGAACCGGAAGAGACTTGCTGATTGTGGCATTGGTTTCGGAAGGAATGCTATCGGTGGGCGTGATGGGCGTTTCTACGTTGTCACTGACCCTAACGACGATGACCCTGTTAACCCGAAACCTGGAACCTTGCGTCATGCCGTGATCCAGGACGAGCCTCTTTGGATTGTGTTCAAGAGGGACATGGTGATTCAACTGAGGCAGGAGCTGATTATGAACAGTTTTAAGACCATTGATGGTCGTGGGGCCAATGTCCACATTGCCAATGGGGCGTGTATCACGATCCAGTTTGTTACCAATGTGATTATCCATGGTCTTCACATCCATGACTGTAAGCCTACTGGCAACGCCATGGTGAGAAGCTCACCGTCTCACTTTGGGTGGAGGACGATGGCTGACGGTGATGCGATCTCCATTTTCGGTTCAAGCCACATTTGGGTTGATCATAACTCCCTCTCTAATTGTGCTGATGGTCTTGTTGATGCTGTCATGGGCTCAACTGCCATTACCGTCTCCAACAACCACATGACCCACCACAATGAGGTAAATATCTGCTCTCTGCATTTACTTTTATCCATAGTATCCTCATTAATGGCTAAGCTAACTGTTTTGAAACCGTGATTAAATGTAGGTGATGTTGCTAGGTCACAGTGACTCGTACACAAGGGACAAACAGATGCAAGTGACCATCGCTTACAACCATTTCGGAGAGGGACTGATCCAGAGAATGCCAAGGTAATCCGCCAATCAATTTAAAGGCCTTTTGATATGAAAGGAAGTAAATGGAATTTGACAACATATTTTGTTGTTGATAAATGCAGGTGTAGGCATGGGTATTTCCATGTGGTGAACAATGACTATACACACTGGGAAATGTATGCCATTGGGGGAAGTGCAAACCCCACCATCAACAGCCAGGGTAACAGATATGCAGCTCCAACAAATCCATTTGCAAAGGAGGTTACTAAGAGAGTGGAGACACCTGCAAATCAGTGGAACAACTGGAATTGGAGATCAGAAGGAGACTTGTTGCTGAATGGTGCTTACTTCACTCCATCTGGAGCTGGAGCCTCAGCCAGCTACGCCAGAGCCTCAAGCTTGGGAGCCAAGTCCTCCGCCATGGTTGGGGCCATGACTTCCAATGCCGGCGCTCTTCCTTGCCGCCGAGCCAGACAATGCTAGTATCATCTCAATTAAATCGGCTGAAAATCAGCCATTTCCCATTATTCTTTAAAAAAACATTAAAGCACTACCCACCAAAATATCCATCCATTGTTTGTTGATTTTTTACCTATGCCTCTGACAAAGTGTACATTTTTTACACATTGTCATTATGTTGTCTCCCTCTCTGTCCCTGTTTGTCAACCTGTTTTATTTTCTCAACCTCGGCCTGCTTCAGCTCAAGTAAACCCCAAAACAGCAGGTGCGGAAGCGTTGTCCTTCCCCCTCACCCCCAAGTTTCTCTCTGGTCACGCTCAGTTTTACCAATCTTAAAAAAAACATCCTTTGGTGTCCACATACTCTTGGTCATTTGGGTTTATAATATAGGATTGAATGATTTTGTGAATTTTTTTCTTCCTTTTTCACCCTCAATTGTGTCTAAGCTTACAAAGCAAAAGTATGAATGTAAAACCGGGGAGTTATATAGTCAAATAGCATTTGATGTTTCTTTTTGCTTGTACTTTTGGTGGGAATTCCGGTTGTGTTGGTTTGATGTGGGAGGCAATAGGAAGGGGATGCATTCAATAATATTGATTTCACTCTTTAAAATGCGGGAGGCACCGACATGAGCAATAATCAATGACTTTAGTTTCCCTTTAGCTTTTACCTTGCTCTTACTGTCACCAAACGATTAAAGCCAAGGCCTACCCCCATCGCTTTAAACATGTAAGGATTTAAAAGCATCCAACTACCCTCAAAACAAATATCAATGCATATAATTTAGAGACAGTAATTTTTTATATATGTAACAATTTGTATTGCCATCTCTAATGTAATTCGAATTTAATATCAATTTAGGTGATGAAATGTAAATATCAATGCAAATTAAATTTGAGCCTGCCTCGTGACAAATCTCATTTAAAAATATAAAAACAAAAACCAAAGTATTGAAAGTGGGAGAGAGGCAAAAGGCAGAGTCACGTGGAAGATGGGGAGTGGCGATGGGACCATTATTACCTTTCTCTTTCTCCTGCCCGACTTGCACTGTTGCACATGCTCATAGCCTCTCCACCATTATTCATTCCAAGATTTAATTTGCATTCCCAACGCGTTGCTTCGCTGTTTCTATATTCTCATGGTTTTCAGAACCGGACCGGTTAACGAACCGGTCATATTATCAGATCACTGATTCAATCGGTCTGAGTGATCGAAAGAATCGGACGACGTCATAATTATTTAAAAAAATTAAATAAAATACCAAAAAATATTTAATAAAAAATAATTTTTTATATCACAAGTCATATTCAAAGCAAGTCATAACATATATAAGTTAAAAACCATAAAATCAAGTGAAACAAAATGATTCAAATTAACTACAACATAATATTTAAGATAAAACATATTAAATAATAAATATAATTATATAACTATAATTAAAAAATAAATTTGGGGTTAAAAAAATCATAACAAAATGATATTGTTTGGTTTAATTTTTTTTAAAACAATCTCACATTGCTAAGAAACATAGAAGATCATCCCAAAAGTCTAAAGAGTAAAAATATGAGAACAAAACAATCTCACATTGCTAAGAAATATAGAAGCGCATTACAACTAACTTCTATAAATAATAGAGGTAATTTGACATTCAAAATCATGGAGTCTTTTGGTGAGCATTGAGTGAACTATTCTTTCATTTCAATCAAGCTCGAATTTTAGACTTCAATCGAGCTTCTAAATTTTTTTGAGTTCAAGCCTTTTTGAGTTCAAGTTTCAATATTATATTTCGAGTTTGAGTTGAACTTGATAATTTTTAGCTTGTGAGTTTGAGTTGAGTTAAACTTACTTTTAAAATTTTCAAGTTCGAGTCGAGCTCAGCAATAGTCGAGTTCGACTTGGCTCGTTTAACAAACGACGTTGTTTGGTTTAATTTTTTTTTTTTAAAAAAAATCCCGATTTTTTCCGGTTTTCAGCCGATCCGATTTGAACGGTTCAACGGTTCTAGCCGTTTCACTAATAACGGTTCTGGCCGTTTCACTAATAACGGTTCAACCGGTTTAGATTAAACCGAAATAAACAATGATTCCCGGTTGAACCGTCCGATCCGATTTTTAAAACAGAGTATTTTCTATATTTAAACCAATTGCTTAGTTTTAGGTATATGTATTGTCGGCCATTAATTTGTGATTACGGGAGACATTATTGTGAATGAAGGGTTCACGTACGTTAGGTATTATCCTTGCATGACCATTCTTTTTCGAGCTCAAGTTCGGATTTGCACATTCCATCTCACTTTAAGGAATCGCCGATTGGAATAGTGTCTTCACCTACTCTGCATCGCCAGATTCGATGTTGAAAGATTTATTTATTTTTTATAAAAAAATCAAAGATTGGGAAAAAAGATATTTGGTCACAAAGGAATATATGAAGGATATTTGGGTGGTGGGGAATAAAGGGCATCATTGATTAATCCATTGACAAAATTAAGTCTAAAAATCATTAATTTTTTAAAAAATTTAAACATTTAAGAAGAAAATAAAAAAGTAACAAACCGTTAAAGATTAATATCACTATTATACTTTAAGTGAATAAAACATTATTTTCAAAAAAACATCACGTGTTAATTTTTGATTGGGAAAAGAATTATAGTCCGATTTTATCACGAAATGAACAAATCCATTAAGGGCAAAAAAAAATATGAAATTGAGAAGGAGAAAACATTTTCATGACATTGAGAAATTATGTATAATTTATGTACCAAAAGAGCATTTCACTCTTATCAAAACAATTATTTCAGCATAGTTCAATGACATCCGATGTACTCTCGTTAAATAAATACAAAATATAATTAAAATAAATAAGTTTAGATTTGGCTCAGTCCTATAGATCAAATTCAGGACTAGTTGGCACATGTGGAATTATAAAATTAGCCGTACATATATATTATAAAAATATTCTTTACATATTGTATAATATAACTATAAAATTATATATTATGATATGTATGTGTTTAATAAACTAGATTTTTTTTATTTTTGATAAATATATACTGTTAAAAGAATAAAATAAATTGTATTTTGATAAATATGTGCATATATATTTTGTTTTTCGAGCTAAAATCATGCTTTCAGGACTTTGTCTATATGGGCTGCTTTAAAGGCTTATGTGGAATATGGGATACTAAGTCAACATTTCCAACAAAATCTATGTTACAATGATTTTATGCTGTAACATATATATAGAGAGAGAGATTAATTTTTTGACACTAAAGGATTGTTTGTTTGTCTCTTAATGGAACCATTCAGCGCTCGCATCTCTAAATGATTCAGTGCTGAATAATTCAATACTGATTGATTCAGCAAAGCATTGCTAAGTGATTCAGCACAGAAGAACATTCTAAATGATTCAGAGTCATTATCAAACAGCATGTCACATTCAGAGCTAATTCATACAGAATCTCTGAAGCATTCAACATTTGAATCATTCAGCGCTTAATCATTCTGAAGTAAACAAACAGCCCCTGAATCAGACTTTTAATCGATTTTCGGGTTAAGTTCAAGACGAGTAAATTAATCAGAGTAAGTTGGAAGCATACCGGATCGGGGACGACATAAAATCGCTCTGCCACACCCCAAGTTTGAGTTCGAGAATCATATTTAGATTTTAAATAATCCAAGGTTCTTTCGTGTCAAAAAATTTCATTTTAAATCGGATTTGACGGAAAAGAGATGTTTTTCTACTGCATTGATATCTTCTGCAGATTGCTAAAAAGCTTAACGTTCAATGATATGTGTTCTGTAGCATATAAAACTTGCTTGAAAAGATAGTAGCCAACGAAAACAATGCCCCAACAGGTCGAGAGGCGACCAGAACGGGTAAATGGTCCTGGAGAGGAAGGAAGAAAAAGAACTAGACCGATCTATACGACCAAATGGACTTTTTAAGAAGAAACCCGAAACTTAACTCGGATTATGCAAGAACCGCCAACGGTCTAGGAATCTACCATGCAATGGGAACAATGAAGAAACATATAGCTCACTCTTTAGATGGTGTAAAATTGTATCCGGCTTCGGCAAAGTGGGATTTCACCATATCAAGTGCCCTAGACCGGTGAGAAATCTTGTTCTTCTCTTCCTTTGGCATCTCTGCATAACTACCGGAATCAAGATATAAAAAAATTATCAAAAGATAAGTTCCAGCTTTATTCAATGACCAAATCATAACTAATCATAGGCGAAAGCAGATATATGAAACGACGGACTTACGTTTGGTCATAGCCATCAGGTTGGAAGATAGGATCCCATCCAAAGTCATTGGGTCCCCTAGCTGGAACTATTTTGCCCTAATAGATCAAGCCAAAAAGTAGAACAAATTATCTCAGAAACTTTATTGTTACGATTCAAATTAGTCTTCGAATTATAAATAGAAACAACGCTCTTCCTGCCGCTATTTCCTATGCCCGTTTTTTCATTTCCATCCATTTTCCGAACAATATTTAAATTTTTAAAGAATAACAACATACATGGACCAGCACTTTCTGATTGATATAGAATCTGTCTCTTATTGACTTAAGAATGTAAAAATTTATACAATTGAAGAACAAAGTCCTTGTGCTTCATTCTTGACATGTTTAGACCATTTCATTTTCAAAATTAAACTCGAAAGATATAAGAGTTAAGGTAAGAAAATAGAAAAGTAATCTTGGGAACATACCGGAGTTTTACCCAGAAAGGTAACAGGTTCAACATTGGGACCAAGGGCAAAGGAAAATGCGCATAGGGCATAAGCTGACTTATCCTCGTAAGCCATCAACAAGTTATTCAAACCTAGGAAAAAATTATGAAAGTGAAGTAAACAGGTGAGAGAAGAGTATCCCGAAGCATCGTAAAATTGTCACGGAGGTTTAAAGGAAGGAAATGAAATGAAAGACGGTATCGTAAGAACAGAACCTTCATGGCCAATCTTCTGCAAAAACCACTTGCTGCAGAACACATTAGACAATGACAATTAGAAAGCATACAACAAGAACCTCAACGGCACATTGAAAAAAGAAAAGAACAATCTGATGAGACCTACATTATATGCAAAATCATGTAAAAGCGATTTTGCTTCTATCACCACAAAACAAAGATTAATCTTAAACCTAGAAAATTTAAGAAAGTGAATAGAGAACCAAGAGGAGGAGAAATTTGTTAGAATCCCAAAAGAAAGAAAAGCTCCTAAAATATAAGCTTTATAAAATTTAGAGTAAGGGGTTTTACTGATAAACGAGCCTCCACTGTTGAAACAATCGTTTTCCACGAGTATATGACACATATCGATAATGCATTAAGGGTATCGGAGGATTCAGATCAAAGTAAAACCCTCAAGAAACAATAATTAAAAGGAGTCCATTAATGTTAGCCATTTGCTTGATCAGGTAAGCCTAATAAGATTTCATGCTCAACAAATAATCATAAACTCCATAGGTTCAGTTCACCAAATACCAAAATACCAGAAGCACAGATAAACAATTTTGTCTGTACATTTTAAATCCATTGAAACTGAAACGAGAAGAAAGCTTACACGTTTTGAATTTAGCTACAAGAATGAGATAGAACTTACATGTACGGCCCTGCAAGTAGTTCAAAAAAATCATTAAGGAACCAAAAAACCCAATCAGTAAAACATGTAAAGGATGGTTAATACCCGGAAGACCCTTTAGAGCATTGAAGCAAAGGCATGTATCTTCCACCAACACTGGTCCATTCACCTTCACATCCAATAAAATATAAAGATTAAACATTTCTAGACTAAAAAAATACAAAGATTTATGAATATATAAACCTGGCGAGCAGCCAAACGAGCCTTTTCTTTGGATATTTCTTCCGGTTCCCCTTGCAGTTCAGGCACTGAGCAATTGGCAATGTAAAGAGTTGGGCGGTGGGGGATTCAAAATCAAACGAAAGGAAATTAAAAAAAAAAACTTGTTGTAGAAGAAGAGATTACGGTCAAGCTTGAGGGACTGAAAAGGGATGGATTGACCCAAGATGGTCTTCACTTCCTCCAGCTTCTTGGCATTCCCAGTTACGAAAGTTACCGGACGTGAGACAATCACTGCTCTAGCCGCCGCCGCCATTAACCCGTTCCTTTTTTGCTGCCCTGGAACCAAATGAACAAATTCAAAGACTGTTGAAGCTAGGTTTTGTCTAATCTCGGGGCAGACCCTAAATCAAAGAATCAAAGCCGTGGCGACTTCCCCCCCCCCCCTTTTTTAATGCTAGTAAAATTTGTCTGCAAGATAAAAATGGAATGAATTAATGCTAGATGTTCAAATAATTTTTTTGATAAAAATATGTTTTTTTATGTTTTTTCGTTCTACTTTTATATATTTATACAATAATAATTGTTAAAGAAGGCGTTAAATTACTTGTGTTAAGTTTATTTTTGGAAAAATGAATCTAATATCGTGTTTGAAAAAGAAATTCCTCTAATAATCTATCTCACCCATTAATTCCCAAATTAAGGTGTTTGCAACAGTAATTTTAAAAAACTCCAAGATTGTTGTACGTTTTCATCGTCACTAACTTTTTTTTACTCTACAAAGCTGAAGACTCATAACAATCTCGACGTCTTTCTCTTGACACTATAGAAATGACTCTAGATCGTGAAATAATATGATCTTTTAGAATGAAAGGGAATAATATGATAGATGCCTTATATCGAGAAATATTTTTTCCTACTGCTCTATATGAGCGAGGGAGCCGTTTGTATTTTGACTTAATGTAAAAATAAGTGCTCAAATTATACCATAAGTTAATTTTAGGTGATTAAATAATTTTTCATTAATGTATCTAACATCTTTAATGTTATACTTTTAAGTGCATAGATTATAACGACCATTAAATTTGGTCGTTTCTTGACACGCGTTGAGTTTATAAATATTTAAAAAAAATTAATAAACTATTATTTTAATAAACATTATAAAAAAAAAAGAATTCTCTCTCCTTTCTGCATAACCCCTTCACATGTGCACAAGTTTTATCCCTTCCCAAGATGCTTTCAGTATCCTTCCATTGTCCCATATATCCCCTAAAGTTAACTTAAGGTGAGAATGATAAATTGAGATTAGAGTTAAGGATATGGGTATATTGGATTCAAAAATTTAAGTTCATCTTTATTGATTTTGAAAGATTGGGACAACAACAAGAGCGATGATCGACAGTGGAGATTCGACCACAGATGAGTGATCGTTCAACGATAATAAAGACGGCCAATGATGATCGACAACAATCGATATTGAGGTTGAAATGAAAGATATATAGTTGAAAGGTTTTTTTGTAATTTTAAAAAATACTTATTTTAAAAAAAACTAATAATATTATTAAATTTTAAAAAAATTAAAAAAATATATAAAGATTACACATGTCACTTAACAATATTTTTAATAGATATTAATATGTAGACACTTAAAAGTGTAACGTAAAAAATATTATGTACTTATTTTTAACGAAAAATTATTTAGACACCTAAAGTTAACTTAAAGTATATTTCGATACTTATTTTTCATTAAGCCAAAATATAATTATGACATGTGTCATTTAACGATTTTTTTACAGTCGTTATTGCGTAAGCACCTAAAAGTATAACAAATAAAAAATTAAGCATCTATAAGTGTAACGTTAGAAATGTTAGACACCTATTTCTAACAAAAAAAATTTTAGACACCCAAAATCAACTTATTGTATAATTTGAATACTTATTTTTACATTAAGTCAAATGAAATTTTTCATAAATTTATTTCCAAAATCACGTATACAGAAAATTTAAAGAGAAAATTTAAAGATTAAAGAATTCAATATAATGTTTTACAAATTATAATGATGAAAGTTATATTTAAAGATGTAAATGAATCAAATTTGAACGAATAAAATTATGTTTATATTTGTTTATTTAAAAAAAAAACATTTAGGTTTGGTTCATATTCCTTTAAGTTTTCAATATTACATTCGTATTCGTTTATTTATTTATTGTGAATGTGTTTGCATTTGATTCATTTAATGTTTACAAACATGTTCATGTAGCGTTTGCGAACATGTTTTTTTAATATTCACAAACGTATTTGTTTATATAATTCGAGCCCTCTTGACAATCGACCGAAGAAAAATGATAAAATTACACTATCGTCCTTAGGGATGGCAATGGGTCGGGTCGGGTTTTTGGGCCACCCGACCCGACCCGAGAAGAAAGGGTTATCCACCCGTGACCCGACCCGACCCGACAAAATTAATGTTTCACCCGACCCGACCCGACCCGAATATATGACTTAGAAACCCGATCCGACCAGACCCGAAATAAAAAAAAAATTAATTCAATGAAAACAGTGACTTAATTGAAAAAAATTATATATGGAGGGATATTATTGTAATTACCCCTAAATATATAAGATAAAATTATATATATTTTCGGGTCGGGTCGGGTCGGATTTTTTTTACCCTAAACCCGACCCGACCCGAACAGTGCATTTTAAAAAAATCCGACCCGAACCCGAAATTTTTTTAAAAAAATCCGACCCGATCAGGTCGGATCGGGTCGAAACCCGTCGGATTCGGGTTGAGTTGCCATCCCTAATCGTCCTTAATAAAATATTAAAAATTAATAAGAGATAATATCATTTGTTAAAATTTTAATAAGAGATAATATCAAAATCGTTGCCACACATGCTTGACGTGAAAGATTACGTTGTGTTGTGCCAAGTTTCAATTGAACTTTAAAGAAATAACACGTGCAGGGTCCTGAAAATCGGTGATAATGTCCACCAAATCAAGATTTTAATTTTAATTTTAATTTTGGTCAAAATTTGTAATTGCAAGCTTCCCTTTCACAGGTGAGTACTTGTACTCTGCATTGATTGTAGGCGATGGTTCCATCAATCATCAACATACCTAAATACATTTGACCTAAGCGGGCATGGCTAAAAGAGCAAGAAAATAAATTTAGCATAATTTAATGTACTGTGTCATACTTGTATACAAAAATGAATAAACACGAACATAAACGAATAAAAAATTTATTGTTTGTGTTTGTTCGTTAAGAAATGTAACTTGTTTGTATTCGTTCATTTATATGATAAACAAACACAAATGAACGAATAAATGTAAACGAACACAAATGAACAAACGTAAACGAACATAATAAATGAACATAAATGAAAAAATATATATATTTTTTATTTTCTAACAATTTGAGGATTATATTTTATTTAATTGTTTTGAGCTTTTTTTTATTTGTATTTAAAATTAATTAAATTTTAAAATATTTATAGGTATCAAATTAAAACTTTATTAGGCTTTGATATTTTAAACGAGTCTAGAGAGATTGAGTTAAAAATAAATAAACGCACATAAACAAACATAAACGAACTAACATAAATGAACGAACATATTACCAAATATTCACGAACGTAAATGAACGAACGAGCCCTCTGTTCATATTCGTTCATTTAATTAAACGAACACAATATCTTGTTCATGTTCGTTAGTTTAATAAATTCGTATACCATATCCTTCTCTAATAATGATCCGGTCACGTATTAGAATAATAAAGTTATCAGCTTTGCTAAGTCATTGACCACCCGATTATTATAATTAAATGTAAAAGTAGTCCTTACGATCCATAGAACACCAATAATTTGGATTAATTTTTAAAAGAAGAAACCCCAATAATTTACAAGTTCTCAGCTTTTAATTCTCCATTAATCTCCACCCACCATTGCGCATGTACTTTTAATTCCTTTCACTTATAAAAGTAAGCAAAGTGATCGAATCCAACTCACTCAAAAAAAAGACCGAACAAACATTAAAAAAAAAAGAAATGGGTGGTCGGAACAATCTCGTTGTGGTCCTCGTTCCGGTTCTGTTAATCATCAGCCTGTCGTTGTCGGTTCTCGGAATACGACACGAGCAATTAGCTACGATCCACGTTACGAATTCGATGCCGAAGGGTTCGGGACCTATGCAAATCAGCTGCAAGTCGAGCTACACCGATAACGGGACGCACCAAGTTGGCGAAGGGGACCGTTATCAATGTAACGTTCGAGAAAGGGCCTTATGGCCATATCGGGACGGCGAATGGCGTCGTGGCACGCTTTTCAGCCGCGCCGAGACGGGAGTCGGAAGGCGGTTTATTGGTTGCTTAAGGACGATGGGATCTTCCTTAGTTGGGATAATTCTAGCTGGGTTCGAAAATCCATGTGGGAAACAGAGTGAAATTCAAGCTTGGGGACTTGGTTTGCAGATGTATGTATTTGGTTTCCTTATGCTCTTTGTTGTTCGGAATATACAAAATTTGTGTCTTGTTCATTGTAACGCAATTCAGGATGATGAATTGTTGTGTTGTAGTTTATGATATATTCTGTAATAAATAAATTACTTCTTTCCGGAGAACATTTATTATAAATTTTAGGGTTTGGTACCCAAACTTTATATTGTCAAAATCAAACCTAACGTTCAGTTTAAGTTTTATTTTGTTATCCCATTGTTAAAAACTTAACGGTGATGTTAATGTGTCACTATAAGGTAATGCTACATCATCACTGAAAAAACCTAAAAAATATATTATGTTAGCAGTTCTGTTAATTTTTTATCGACAAGGTACCAAATTGAAATATAAACTAAACGCTAGATATAGTTTTAAAAGAAATAAAATTTGAGTATCAAAATGGAACAAAAGTAACAGTTTAGGTACCAAACATGTAGTTTATCCTAAAGTTTATTTGGATGGACGATGAGATTAATTTTGGTAAAATTAGTTATCATGCAACGTCGTCCAATAATCAAAGACATCATCTTATTTACAATATGCACAGTTATGATTAAATGCAAAGGTAAATTGTGAATTAATAGTGTTGCGAGAGGTAGTTTGGGTGATGGCTATTTAAGGCGTGGCGGAGCAAGGGCCACCGAGAGTTATATTGTTCACGGATATTGAGCAAGAAAGTTGATACTTTTTTAAAATTATTAAGATTCTTTTTTATAGTACTTGTAATATAGTATTTATTCAGGAATTTTTTAATCAACCGATAATAATCATATATATATCTAACATTAAACGCTTATAACTCTGCATACAGTGGAACTCGAATCTAGAACCTCAAGGAATAATAATAAGAAATCATTTGATTCGTGCTAAACGAGAAGATTAAAATAAGGTAATTATATTTATTGGGCTAGATTTTATTTAGTTGTATTAGATTAAAAGTTTGAGTTTGATTTGTTTGGGATATGGATTGGGTTGGTTTATTATATAATAAATTGGTAATTGGGTTGGATTTTAGATTTTGGTTAAATATTTATATATTATTTCATTTAATAAAAATTTAAAATTAAAATAAGGTATGATTTTACACTATGTTTTCATCTCATTTAGTGTTGCATATAAATGTTTCATCTCAATTGATCCAGGGATAGGCACTCAACCCGAACCCGACGGTTTCGACCCAACCTGATTGGGTCAAATTTAAAAAAAACGGGTTTGGGTCAAGTCGGGTTTTTTTAGGTGTGATATTCGAGTCGGGTCGGTTCGGATTTAGGGTGAAAAATATCCGACCCGACCCCAAAAAAATATATAATTTTATCTTATATATTTAAGAATAATTACAATAATACCTCTCTATATATAATTTTTTCAATTAAATCACTTTTTTTATTGAATAAAAATATTTTTTTATTATTTCGGGTTGGGTTTCTAAGTCATATATTCAGATCGCGCCGGGTGAAACCTTGTTTTGGTCTGGTTGGGTCGAGTCTCGAGTGGAGGCTCCCTTGTTGGGTCGGGTCGGGTTGGGTGGACCAAAAACCCGACCCATACCCATCCCTAATATTTGATCCCTCAACCCATGGCACCAAGTCTGTCCAAGAGTTGCTCGTGATAACTTTGAGATACTAAGTTCAAATCTCCGAATGTGACATATCGACATAATTGCTTCTACATACAAACACGAAAATGATTTCCGTAATTTCCGTGATTATTTCTGCAGTTAGATTGCTGCGTTTATCTTTTACGGGATCAGCCAAAGAAACCATAAGAACATATAATAAACTGCAGACAAGGTACCCGCAGATTCGATGCATTTCGGGTAAGAACACGGTAAAAAGAACATGCAGAAACAACTAAAAACAGTTTAATTTCAACAATGGAACGAATAAACCATGGTCTGGATTAGTGACCTAAGCACCTGCACGGCTGCAATATTTCGAAAGAATCTGATTCATACCTGTACATTGATGTTGCTATACTATATAGTATTGTATAGAATCCGATGACACCGAGAGTGTCATCAGTTACTTCCATTTCCTATTAACAGAAGCTTCTGCTACAACATTTTCTTTATCGAATAATGCATTCGCTGTTATATCAAAGAATCAACAGCAAACGAGACATATTGGTTAATGAAAATGGGGAGTAGTGAGTCACATACTTTCACGAGGCATTGTGTTTCAGGGGAAGACTGTCGGGGGGAGACATGTCAAAGTGGTCTTCTTGCCTTTTCGATTCTATCAGCATTTTCACAACTTCACGCATGGACGGCCGATCGAAAGGAGACATGCTAGTGCATAACAAAGCGATTTTCAACACAGTAATCATGTGATCGACAATACTTCTATCGTCAAGATTTAAACGACCGTCGAGTATCCCGGTAGTCAATGAGTGCTTACGAACATAATGTCTCACTAGCGTGACAAGGTCGCCTCCATGATCCAACGGCTGTACAGGAGTCTTCCCTGTCAACAACTCCAGTAACACAACTCCATAGCTATAGATGTCACATTTTTCCGTGATCTTCATAGTGTATGCGTATTCTGTCACAAAAAACAGATACAATTTCAACGATCTAAAACAGATAGATGTCACATTTTTCCAGTAAAAACAGATTTGTTATCTATCACAAATACCTTATATACAAGCTCAAAAGCTGCATCAAACGAACAAATAACAGAAATGTACGAGAAAGAGGAAGAGAATTTTCAGTTTCACCATTAGCGGTGTCGTCAGGTATGATCTTGATCAATATAGTAATAGTACCTTTTTTTGTGAAAACGGAAAGCCAAGGACAACTTACCAGGGGCAATGTATCCATATGATCCAGCAACTGCCGTCACCGACTTAGATTGGGGCATGTCAATTACTTTTGCTAAACCAAAATCACCGACATGTGCTTCGAAATTTTCATCAAGTAAGATATTATTGGACTTGATATCTCGATGAACGATCCTCGGTTTGCAGTCGTGATGTAAATAAGCAAGACCTTCAGCAGCTCCTATGGCAATCAAAAACCGAGTTGGCCATTCTAAGCTGCATGAGACCCCATGAAGTGCTTCACCCAAACTACCATTCTCCATGTACTCGTAAAGAAGCACGTTGAAACCTTGATGATAGCAGAAACCATAAAGCTTCACAATATTCCGATGCCTAATGTTTCCTAATGTTAAAATCTCAGCACGAAAACTGTTCTCAATGTTGTTTCCCTCTGCATTCGATGCTAGCCTCTTAACGGCAACCGTTTGTCCAGAATGCATAACGGCTTTATAAACCGTTCCACAAGCTCCCCTTCCAACAATAAAACTCTCATGAAAATTATTCGTAGACTCGATTAGATCTTGAAATGCAAACCCTTCTTTTGGATGGAAGTAAATATCTGAAGCCGGTGGTGGTATCTCCTTGTCTTTCACGGATGCAACACTTTCACGTGGACGTCTCATTTGATATATGAGAATTACAATGAGAATTAAAGATGCCCCGCCAACAACACCTGCAACTATCGTTATGATTCTTCCTCCTGTACCCTTCTTAGCAGGTATCATCCGAGAAGATGAATCTACCATGCAATTACGAAGAGGCCTACCACAAAGTCCTTTATTTTCAATAAAGCTACTAGTCGGCATGTTCTGAAATAACGGGATGGCAGGTAAAGGTCCGGTTAAGTTGTTGTACGACAAGTTGCATACCATTAAACTTGACAGGTTCTCAAATGTGCTGGGAATTTCACCACTCAAGTTGTTATTATTGAGTAGGAGAAATTCCAACATATTAAGAAGCCCGAGCTCTCGTGGTATATTTCCGGCGAGACGGTTATTGCTAAGGTTCATTGCAATCTGCAAGCTTGAAAGAGAACCAAATTGATTGGGTATTTCACCGGAAAATAAGTTGCCACCCATCTGAAGCTCAATCAAACGAGATAAGTTCCCCAAAGCTGCCGGTATATTTCCCGAGAACTTATTTTCCGAAAGTCTTATAATCTCGAGCTGTGTAAGGGTTCCAAGCTCATTCGGTAAAGTATCAACAAAGCTGTTGTGGCTGAGATCAAGTCGTTGAAGCTTCTTGCAGTTAACTATCTCATGTGGAATCCGCCCGGAAAGTGAATTAGATGATACATTAAAAGTCACTAGTTGAGACAGATTGCCTATCTCCTTAGGCAGCTCGAAACTAAAGTGATTCTCGGCAATATGAAGCCTTTGAAGCTTTTGGCAATTTCCGATCTCAGAAGGAACTGGTCCAGAAAAGTTGTTCTGGTCCAATTCAATAGCGGAAAGATTGACCAGTTTGCATAACCGTGAAGGAAATCTCCCTGTCAGCATGTTCCGGACCAAACGAAGTTGCACTAAGGTCTCACAGGTCTCGATCCCGGTTGAGATATTTCCAGACAGCTTATTAGCTCCAAGGTTTAACAAAATAAGATTACCATGCCAACAAAGATTAGGAGGTATTTTGCCTGTCAAGCGGTTGTTAGAAAAATCAACCGCCCAAAGTGGACTATAAACTCCGAGCTGCTGAGGAATGGTACCGATCAGAAAATTTTCGAATAGCTGTAACTGAACCAATTTAGTCAAATATTGGAAACCATAAGGAATGGGACCTGAAAGATGATTGATCGAAAGGTCAAGGATGGTCAAGTTCTTCAAGCTACTAAGCTCATTTGGTATGACACCAGTAAGCCGGTTCTCGAATAGGTGCAATAAGTGTAGACACCTTATGTTGCTGAACTCAGTTGGGATTTCGCCAGTCAAATAATTATCCGAGAAATCGATTTCCATGGCAAGAGATAGATTCCCTATCTCCCTCGGAATGCTTCCGTTTAATTGATTCCGGTATAGATACAACTCCTTCAGAAACTTGAGGTTCCCAATCTCTGCAGGTATTGGTCCGACAAGCCGATTTGCATACAATGCAAGTGTCTCAAGGCTAGTACAGTTTCCAAGCTCCTTCGGGATAAACCCAGATAACTTATTCTCCCATAAAATCAAATCAGTCAAGCTTCTGAGCATTCCGATTTCCTTAGGCAGTTCTCCTCCAATACGGTTCTGTGCAAGACCAAGCATTTCTAAGCTTTGACATCCACTGATTTCAGCCGGAATGTCACCAGAAATCGAATTCTGCCCAGCTCGAAATGTCTTCAACTTTCGGAGATTCCCGATAGAGCTAGGCAACGGCCCAGTCAAGTTATTTGTGTATGCCACAAACTCATCTAGTGAGGACAAATTCCCAAGCTCTTCAGGAAGGGAACCAGAGATTTTGTTATTGCATATATTCAAACTTCTCAAATAAGAGAGCTTACCCAATTCACCAGGAATCAGACCACTGAAATGGTTATTATTCAAATAAAGAAAGACCAGACGTGAACAATTCCCAATCTCCTCCGGTATGTTCCCGCTGAACTCGTTATAAGACAGATCGAGGAATGTCAAGTGGATCAGACCACCAATACTAGGACTCAGGATTCCCGAAAGATTCATCGAACTCAAATCAACAGACGAGACCACCGGCTCGTAATCTGAAGAACAATTGACACCTCTCCACCGGCACGGCGTCTCATCAGTGGATTTCCAGTTCCCAAGATGGTTGTATTCATCATGAAGACTATTCTTAAGCTCTAGCAGCAATTGGCCCTCGGAATTTAGCCCGTCTACTATAGTTATCAGTAGAGCCAAACCCAGTAGAAACCTCCAAAATCCTTCCTCCAAATGTCGCCTCGATTCGAAATTCCTAGGCATTTTAGTAATTGCAATGATCTGAATCCTGCACAACAAAAATCCCTGCTATCACAATTCACAACCCAAAAAAAAAAGCATATGCCACCATTACAATGTAAAGTTTTTTTTTTTTAACTTTGAATGCATTTAGAAGAAACTATGAACCAGTTATCAACAAATTTGTTCCCACTTTCAAGCATTCGAATACTCTAAAACCGATGCATTCATCGAAATTTACAGAAACAAAACTGGAAAAAGGGGGAAATATAGAACATATAAAACATCACTTTGGTCAATCCCAAAGTCACCTCTTCATCAAATAAAACTCCACCATATAACCGCAACTCCCTGAAGAACACAAAGTGAAGACGACTCAATTTCGGAATTTAACAAATACAACTTATACAACTTGCTTTAACAAATGATGAGAACCTTCAAATCGAACAACTTAATATATCCCTCTTAATAAGCAACTAACCAAGGAGAAACATCCACATGAAACAAGATAATGTAAACAATCGACACCCCTTCATTTACCTCGTATTTTCTTCTAAATCCGACCGAGTTGAAATCTTCAAGCATAAGTTCCAGATATGTAACCTATCATAAAAACACCATAAAGGTAAATTATTAGAGTGATGAATCAAACAAGCAAGATTAAACACAGCAGTGTAACATTGCATCTTTGGCATATAAAGCTTTTAATATTTTAACTTTCAACTTTCTTTATCATTCAAAAGAAGAATTGAGGCCCAAAATGCACAAATTTCTGTACCCAAAAAAAAAACTTTAAATTAATCCCTACAGAATATACAAAAGTAGAACACTTATATTACAAATCTGGGTTTTTCACTGGACAACAAGCAATCTCAAATGAAATGATTCTTCATCACACAGCACCATCAAAACATTATTCTAATATAAAAAATCCATCAACTTCAAGGTATAATATCCACCCAATGGCAACAGACAAAGAACCCACAATTCAGAACCGAAAAAATATTAAATAAAAACTACTGGTGAGACCCACTAAAGCTTCCAACAAAGGGAACAAGAGAAATGTCAACAGTTTCAGAACTAATTCTACAGAAGAAAAAAGCAAACAAACCCTTTGCTTAAACTTCTATGGCATCCAAATTATCCAGCAATTAGCTACCAAACTAAAAAGAAAAAAAAATCAAAGGTTTAAGATTTACCAAAGCATTGAAGCAGAATATAGGATTAGCAGAGACAAAAGGTGGGAACTTTGGACACGAGAAGCTAACAAAATTGGTTTTCTTTCCAGAAATCAGACAACTTTATAATCAACTTTTTAAAGGAAAGGAAGAAAATTTTCTCGGGAAAAGTTGGGGTATTATAGGATTTGGCAGTGGCAGCTTTGATCTTCCAAGGTAGGCACTGAAAAAAAAACAGAAGTTCTTCCTAGTCCAAGAAATGAATTTTTTTCATGAGAATGGTAAGTTAATTTTCCGTACATTATATCAAACTCCTAATTTTAATTAGTTAACCATGGATTAGTATTAGTATTCTGATTAAGAAGACCAAGGATTTGTATTAACTCCTGTCCAAATTAAAGATCATAGTTTTTTTTTCTTTTCTTTTTTATCATAATTTTTTCCTTTTTATTTTGTGGTTTTTATTTTTATTTTATTTTGTTCACGTTATTATCATTAATTACGTCAGCATTACTGTTTTGTACACGTCATTACATATGTATTAATGCAAATGATGAATCTTAGGGGGCTTTAGGACGGGGAATCACACATTTTTCGTTTGGTTAGTTTGAAAATCTCATTTTTAATAAAGTAAGATTATTAATAGTGGATTTTTTTGGGTATATTATTAGGAATATCATTATCTTCCTTTCTTTAGGTATTGTTGGATTAAAATGCCCTTAATTTTTTTTCATAAATATCATTTTTCTGTCATTGAATAATAAAAATTCTACGAATGTTAAATTACAAATTTATCCTTAAACTATTTTAGATTTACAAAAAAAAACTATAATTAAAATTTTATATGAAGTTCAGAGGTTAAAATAAAATTTTACCCTTTCATTAAACATTTTTATATTTTTAATTTTGTAAAAAATATATATAAATTTTATGAATTTAAATTTTTTAAAGAAAATATATAAATATTTTTCAACTTGTTAAAAACAAATTTATAATAAGGACAATTTGGTCAAATATACATTCTAATAATCTTTTATTCCTTTAACCAAACACGGTAATCTTACATTACTACTAAGCCAACCAAACACAAAATACAACATTATCAGTAATCTTATTCCCTGATAATCTTACATTCCCACTGGTAATCTTACATTTCGTGAACCAAACACACCCTTGGAAGTTCGAGATTGGAGTTTTACTGTGTACATTTTTATCAACCCTTAATTTATGATTCTAGTTCTAAATTAATCCCTAAATTTTAAATCATTCTATATGAATCCTAGACTATTGGTATTATTTTGATCATTCTGTTAACTCTATTAATTAAAAAATAATTTATTTTTGAACTTCATGAGAATTGAACATATAATCTTCCAAATTTTTTATAAGACCTTCAAAAATAAATTAATTATTTTATAAGATCACGGGTTCGATTCTTAAAACCTTCAAAAACTAATAAAGTTTATGACAAAGGATCATATTAACTTTTCGTCACTCTCACTAACGGTTGTTAACGTCAAAGGATCATATTATTACAATCGATTATGTTAGTGACTAATTTATAAGTTTTAAAAGTTTAACGAAGAAAATACTCAAACTTTAGTGTCCATTCATGTAATTTACCCTAAATTTAATGATAGTTGATGCTAGAGAACAAGTACTCTTGCAACCGAAACCATACATGTAATTAATTGTACTTATAAATTGTAATTCTCTTGTATTATATCCTATGAAAAATATCTCATAGTCATACATATGTTGTAAAAAAAATTAATTCGATAATTTACTTTTATAATATATAATTTAGGGTTTAGGGTTTTAGGGTTTATAATTATAATTCTAGATTTTATATTTAAAATTAAAATAAATAAATTATGTAAAATTATATCTCAAATGATAATATTTATTTTATTTACACCATCTTAAGTTTAATATATTAAATTGAATTGATAAACGATCCTTAAATTATTAGAAAATATTATTTTAACATTTAGCTTGTTCTCCTTTGATTTATTTTTTATTTTTAATTATTTCGTAGTTGGATCGGATCCAACGAGTTTTGACCAGTAGTCAACACGCTCGAGTTTCTCTAATCAACGAATCTCCAAATCCGAGTTGGCATTGGCCTTTGGGTAATGTATCAAAATTCAACTCGAAAATTATTTATAAAAAAATTTGAAAAGAAGAATATCACATTAATTAAAAAATTTGATTTTAGTGTAAAAAGTATATTTATATTAATTTATAGAAGATATATTTATTAAAAAATAAATTTAAATTATTATAATAAAACAGTTAAAATATAATACAGATTAATATACCTCGTAACCAGAGACAGAATTAAAATAGTTCAAAATAATATAAATTTATTTAATATTTAATTTAACAAATTAAAAGATAAAAGTAAACCTTACTTAAGTTTAAATTAATAGAAATTTAAAATACTATTAAAACAAAATTTTAAGGAAAATCAAGATAAATAATGGTAGCCAATGATTCGGGACAACGTAAACGAAAAATTATTCTCTTAGTTAAATTATTATAATAAATTATGTAAAATTTAATATTAAAAAATTAATACGAATATAATATTAAATTTTAATACATATTTTGAATAAAAATAGATAATATTTAAAATTTAATATGAAATTCAAAGACTTTACTTGCCACTTGCCAGGAAAAAAGTCACGTATTCCCTGAAATTGAGGGAATTATATATATATATATATATAAATTTTATTCGTTGCTCCAAATATTTTATTTTTGTTTTAATTTTGTCCTTAATCGTCAACTTGAAATCTTAATATGTAAAACTGAACCTGTGACCATTATTTTATCAAATACAATAAATCAGACAAAATGTCAATGAAATGTTCATGTGCCATGTCAAGTAATATATCTAGGGATGGGCATGGGTCAGGTTTCGGCCAACCCAACTCGACTAGAAAAATTTTACATTCTTAACCCGACCCGAATCCAACTCGACCCGAAATAAAAAATATTATTTTTATTCAATAAAATCAGTGATTTAATTGAAAAAATAATATATAGAGGGATATTATTGTAAATAGTCCTAAATATATAAGGTAAAATAAAAAATTTGTTCGAGTCGGGTCGGTTATTTGTCACTCTAAACCCGAACACCACCTTTAAAAAATCGACTAGACCCGATCCGAAACCGTTTTTTTTTAAAATGACCCGATCGGGTTGGAACCCGTCGGTTTAGGGTCCCATGTCCTTCCCTAAATATATCCGATTATTGAATAAAAATATTTAGTTATTTATTTATTAGTAAAAAGAGTCTGATAACTAAATAGATAGTGTTTTTTATCAATACAATATAAATATTAGACTGATTCAAAATTTTATATGTTAAAACAATCATAGGTTTATTAAAATATTAATTCTTGTAAGTGTGTATAATATAATATAATATAATATAATATAATATAATATAATATAATATAATATAATATAATATAATATAATATAATATAATATAATATAATATAATATAATATAATATAATATAATATAATATAATATAATTCTCGAGAGGATTATAATTGAGTGGTGTAAGTTGAGGAAGATGTTGAGTGATTTGAGGAGGTTGATTTTTTTATCAAGAATTGAGGGGTAATATAGTGAATGTTTGATCGGGTCGAGTGATTAAATTTTTTATTTTGGACTTAAATTTGGATCGAATCAATAAAACTATGAAATTTAGGTCATTTGAATATATGGATTCGAATCCAGATTTAAAATTTTATTTTATTTAAATTTGGATTAATTTTATTTTCGAACCTCATGAATAGATACGAGCAAAATTAATGTTCACAATAATAAAAAAATGTATATAATTTCACCAAATAAGGGTTTATATACCAACTTATCTATTGAAACTAAATTTAATATTTATCCCATACATATAAAATTAAAAATTACACCTGAAATATTATCTTTCACGAATTCAAACTTTTTTGATTCATTAACCATGCAATTAATGATAATTTAATTAAATAAATTAATACGGTAATTTAAAATCTCACAAATCAATTTTAGGCTTTAATTGAGCAAATGAGATTCATGCTTGATTGACAACTAACTACAATTTTGGGCATTAAGCAATAGCTAAAAGCATAATTTAAGGTTTAGGGGGCTTGGAATTGATTATATAAATTTCAATACATTTGTTTATTCATATCATATATACTATTTTATTTTTTATATTATATATAAATTTGTCAAAAAAAATTAGCAGACCCTATTTTCATATGTAATGAGGTGAGGGAGAAGTTGGATAGTAGGCTGCCCCCCAACGCCAGGTTGAGAGCAGCTTCCGTGGAAGACATCCGGCAGTCAGAATTATGAATTGACTACCGTGGGACTCGATCCCACGACCACAAAATTAAGAGCATTGTGTTCTATCAACTGAGCTGGTATAAAAATAAATTTGTTAGAGATATAAAGATATTTTAAGGGTGAGCATACATATATATAATCACATGAAACTTTGTATGTGGGTTGACATAAACAAAATTTTAGAACGAGCACAATCAACCAAATAAATAACAAATAAAAAATTAAATGTTTATAATAAATACAACTACTCTAACTTAAAACATAAAAACAAATTAATATTTCAACTGCCGAAGCAACATATTAAAGTTAAATAAATGAAATAAAGGGGGAAGTAGCATGGTTCCACTCACACCCATAGCCATCAAATTGCTGGAAAAGTGCCGGTGGAAACACTTCCATCACAATTTACTAGCATGTTGCCATTTAATATTATTATTTTTACATATTTTTCAGAGAAATGTTAATTGGTTGGTTAAATTACATTATAGGTCACTAAACTATATTCAAATGATTATTTTGGTCATTGGACTTTTGAAAATTACAAAATAATTATTAAATTTATTAAACTGTTACAAAATGATCATTAAATGTTATCAAAATTTTACACTAATTATAACATCGTATTAACTATTTTATAACAATTCAATAAATTTAATAATCATTTTACAGCTTTAAAAAATTTAATGACTAAAATACTTATTTTAACATTATTCAGTGACTGATTATTTTACCCTAATTATTTTTCAAGGAGTGAACATGAAATATCTATCTATCTAGAGAATTGGCATAGACCCAAAGATAACTTGCCAATCCTATGAGAGAGAGAAAAAAAAGGCTATGGTAATTTCACAAGTTGCATATATAAATATATTCTCAAAATAATAAAAGCATTTTTATTAAAGAAAACTATTATTATTAGTATTCAAGTTGTATATAGTTGGAGGTATATTAATAAGGGTTAAATCAACATTTAGTCTTTCAACTTGGTCCTTAGACTTTTTTTTTGTTCATATTGTCATTATATTAATTTATCTTTTTATTTTTAACCTTTTGATAATACGATACTTAAGATTGTACTGTGGTACACATTCAAAATCACAAGACATCAAACTTACATAGATAGGGATATGATCCAATTATATATTGTAATTTTTTTTTAGTTTTATACAGGTTTAGTACCATTTGATGAGTTAAAATAGACGAATGAAATTAACATTAAGAAATAATAAAATATTCACAGTCTATTTTCACTCATCCAACTACTTGTGTAAAACTAAAAAAGTTTTATATTGTGTGAGTGGATTCTAACTCTCGTGTGTGTATATATATATATATATATATAGCTTAAAAAGATTGAAAAATCGATTCGAATCGATTCGAATAAAAAGATTCAAAAATTATTGTCTACATGTGTTTGTTCTGGCATTGCAAGTTGTCTTTCATGGGGTGTTCATGAGAAGTCTATGAAACAAGCTGGAGGTCGTTTTAAGTTTGGTTTGCAATAAGTTCTCTTTGGACCTCAAATTTCACTAGCTTAGCTTTCCACTTATTTAATGACATAATTAATTTTAATATTTATTACCCGGTTAAAGGATTATTGTATAATTAAACATATTTATATATATTGTTGTCAGTACGTTATAACAATAACATTATTCATTAAACAAGATTTAGTTCAACAACATTATTTTACTTAGAAATACATATTAGGTACAAGGACATGAAACTAGGCTTGATCCTACTTTCAACTCAAGAAATGCACTCATACTCAGAGATGATAAATGTCGGGTTAGGTCGAGTTTTCGGTCAATCTAATTCAAATAGAGAAGTATATCCCTTCAACTTAAATTTAACCTGATCCGAGAAACATATTCTTTTTAACTGGTCTGACTCGACTCAAGAAACATATTTTCTCAACCCAAACTCGATTCAACCTGAATTTTGAGACAAATTATTATCTAACTGGTGTAAACATTAAAAAAATCTTTTTTTTTGGATAAAATAAGGATATAATTGGGAAAAAACTATAAGATGATAATTATAGCAATTATCCCTTAATGTATAGAAATATATATATATATATATATTATTACCCCATATCAAACAAGAGATTTTTTATCCTAAATCCGAATCTAATCCTAATATGACCTTACCTTCTATAAAAAAAATTTCGAATCGAACCCAATCTTTTATTAAAAAATTAAATCCCATCAAATTATTCTAATCAAAATGGTCATTTTCATACAATTATTTTTTCACAAATTTAACTTCTAATGTTACTTTTTTTCCCTCTTATTTTACTCATCTATTATTAAAAACTTTTTTCTTCTTATTTTACTCATCGATCGTTAAAAACTTAATGAAAATGTGACATTACCTATTATAATAGTGATTTACTCAAAATTTATTTATTATACTAATTAGATCATAATTCGAAATAAGTCATATTTTTCCCTCGTTTTACATAATCGGATCAAACCTCAAAATTTCTACTCGAAGACTACTAGGTTAAGCGATTCTACTCTTCTCTACTGTTACCAGGCCGTACAACACATTCATTACCAGTGCCAACAAGGATGGATCAAGAAATACGCGACGCGATGACATTTGAAAATTTTAAATTCTCATGTAATTTAAACATTTTCTTTATATCTTTTATTACTGATCATGGATGTAAAACTCCGAATCCATCATGATCGGATACTTTCAAGGATGTTTTTCAATCAGTTCTTCCTAGCAAACAAAAAGTCACAGTTTTCTTGACCATTTATCACTTACCCTGTCCTTAGGATCACAAATGGAATCCTTCCAACCTAATCACTGAAACTCGAATTTGTTTTTCGTTATCAGATGTTGGGATGGAGGAATAAAAAAGGATTAGATAAAAGATCGTAAATCCGCGTTTTGTTAGGAGGAATAACCTCAATAATCCATGCCGCCCATGCCACCAGGCATTGCTGAAACATCCTTCTCATCCTTGGGAAGTTCGACTACAATGGCTTCGGTGGTTGTCATCAATGATGACACACTGCATCAGAAAATAAACATACCCAGCTTGTGACTTTCAGGAATCCGAACCAATAATGTGATCCTAGAAAACAGATTTACGGCTTACCTTGCAACATCGACCAAAGCAGTTCTTATTACTTTCAATGGATCCATAATACCCGCCTTCACCATATCGACATATTCACCTGGTTATTGAGTAAAGATAAGAGTATGAGCTATGCTAGTTTCATAGAACAATAAATATATACGATGAACGTAGCATCTAAGAGATTCACATACCTTTGGCTGTGCATCATACCCGAGATCGGGGTTATCCTGCTCCAACAGCTTACCGACAATAACAGCTCCCTCAACTCCAGCATTTGAAGCAATTGTGTTTACAGGTGTCTGCAACAGAAATTCATTCACAAGGGAGAACGAAACTTCACACATCAAAATCACCAGTATTTCGAAACTTTATGGTGGAAGAAAGGTCCAAACTTTTCAACAGTATAACGAAAATAAAATTTTCAGAATTTTGACCCATCCGACAAGGAGAAAAGTTTACAGACCTTTAAGCATTCTGGATAATTTGAACACCAATCTTCTGGTCAAAGTTGGCTGTAGGTAGCTTGTCCAACTCTTTCGATGCATACAAAAGCGCAACGGCACCACCTAGATGTTAAAATCGTTAGTAACATTCCACAGTATTCGATGTTTAAACTGTACTTCATGAAAACCGTTATGGATTTAGTTATTTACCTGGCACAATACCCTCTTCTACAGCTGCCTTTGTAGCATTTAATGCATCTGTAACTCTATCCTTCTTCTCACCAACTTCAGCTTCACTACCTCCTCCAATCTGCAACGTCCAACAAATTCTGAGCTTTGTTAACTCCATTTAAGCAGGAAGCAAATTGGAAAAAGAACCACCATTGAATTTCTTCATTGACAAGTTAAAAATGAAGATAGGAACAATACATTCAACACAGCTACACCACCAGAAAGCTTTGCCAATCTCTCTTGCAACTTCTCCTTATCATAATCAGAGGTGCTCAATTCAATTGCTGACCTAATCTGTTATCGTGAAAGACATGTTATAATCTTGATCAACAAAATCAAGTAGAGTTCAAGAATCAAAATATGGCTAAACAATTGTTCGTAAAAGAAAAATACCTGTTCGCATCTTTCTTCGATGGATTTCTTGTCACCATTCCCATCAAGAATAACAGTGTCATCCTTCGAGACAGTAACCTTTAACAGCCAAAAGGAAAAGAATCGTGCATCAAAAAGATCCCCATTGCCCGTACGCATAAAAAGGGATTTTCAATAGTGTGTTTTACCAAACTGATGGAATTACTCTAGGAAAATGATGGAAATGTGACATTGGGCAAAGACTTTCATGTCCAAAATATAGATATTGTACCCTTTTGCAAGTGCCAAGCATTTCCAGATCCACCTTTTCAAGGTTCATGCCAAGTTCTTCAGTTATAACCTAGTAGAGACGAAACAGATGTCATTGTCAAGAATTCATGTCAGATGAACAATATGATACAAACAAGACAATATCATATATCAGAAAGACGAAGTTGCCCTACCTCTCCTCCTGTGAGGACAGCAAGGTCATGTAGACTAGCCTTTCTGTTTTCTCCAAAACCAGGGGATTTGATGGCACAGACCTGCACCATAAATAATCCACATATATGATTAGCAAGCATTCCAGAAAATGAAGTGACCAAAACAAACAAGGTGAAGAAAAAAAAGTTTCATATTAGACTGATCATCAAACCTTGATTCCAACACGAAGCTTGTTAAGAATGAGTGTAGCCAGTGCTTCGCTCTCTACATCTTCAGCTACAATCAACAAGGGCCTTTGTCTCTGAACAAATATAGCATAGAAGATATTAATATTACAAATGAAACACAGAATCTAATTTCAGAAGTTTTGATACAGTCTTGGTGAGAAAAACAGTCTTGACGAATGATGATTAATCGAAACTAAGTCAGGTAGAATGGTCATAAAGCATGATTTGTTCAAAAATTTCTTACCTTTAAAGCTAACTCTAGTACTTTCACAACAGCAATCAAGCTAGATATTTTCTTCTCATGAATTAGGATGAGAGGATCGTCTAATTCGTAGCATAACACAATGAATAAAATCAGCATAATATCACGGTCAAGCCTCAAAGAGTGTCAGATTTTCCAGGTCAGTCGACGGAGAAAAATGTTACTTACACATTTTTGGTTCTTTGTATTAGTGATGAAATATGGGCATATGTAGCCCCTGTCCAGCTTCATGCCCTCAACAACTTCCAGCTCATTAAATAGCGTTTTCCCATCCTGCAAAGGTTTAACCCACAGTAAGACATTGCATCTTGTATAAAACAGTGATGGTAAGCATGATATGACGGTATTGATACCTGAATTGTTATCACCCCTTCTTTGCCAACCTTCTCCATGGCCTTTGCAATTAACTCACCAATTTTCCTCTCTCCATTAGCTGATATCGTGCCAACCTATTACAAAAAATTAAGTCGAAGCCTTAACAGATTAATGTTTACCGCCATTTTGGTTTTGATTATAATGTAGTGCATTAATCTGACTGCAATAAGCTTTTGATAGGACCCATGGTTACTCTAACAGCATCAGCAAGCTCTTCAACAACTTTAAGCACCAAAGCTCGAGCTTCAACGCCATATTTAATATCTTTTGCTGTATAGCTCCTATTCCAACTCAATCTACTTCCAATCTAACACACACCCAAAGTAGAAATCAATAAAAGAAATATTAAATCAACCTTAAAACTAGCAACGACAATAAAAATATTGTAACTACTGGTAAATAAACTACCTGGTATGTAGTGTTCCTAGCAATCCAGAAACCAAGGTTTGGAAACAAAGAAGAGGGAACAAGTTAGCTCATTCAAAAGGAACAAAAAAAAAAACTTCAAAAAAACTGATAAATGAAGTAATTGTAATGAATATAGTACCTAGCTTTGGAAGCGAGGCTTGAACCAAAACGATACACGCTTAGATTGGGAGGAAAAGAAAATAAGAGAAATGTTAAAAGCGAAAGCTTTGGGGTGACAAAAAGACAATGGGTGAGGGTTTGTGGTTTAAAAGAGAAAAGAAGAAGAAGCCCAAAGATTGGATTGAAAAAAAAAAAAGGTATAGAAGCAATATCAGCAATTCTCACTTTCTTCTTGTTTCTTAACCCTTCTTTAGGGTTTAGGGTTTTACGATTCCAATTTTTTATGGAATCTACTTTTTCCCTTTTCTAAAATAATAATAAAATATATTTATTTTATTTTAACCTTTGAAACTTTAAAATGGGTAAACTACATCATATATCACTAAATTTTATATGTTGAGTCGTCAGTACACTCAATTTATAGTTTTTATTAATTACAACACTGAACTTAATTTTACATTCAATTGTGTCATTTCATCGTTAAGTCACTAATGGGACGATGACATAACTAATGGTTGCTGACATAACCTACCACATCAAACAACGTTATTTTGGTGTCTAAAACGATATTATTTTAAACATTGAATTTTAAGAGAGTATCAATTTGTTATTGAACTTTTAAATAAATTTTTTTGGCACTACACTTTTCGATCATCGTCGGTAGTCAATCATCACTTTTCGTCGATCATCTTTCGCAATAAAATTGATACTCAAACATTCGTATTTCACTTTTCATTCTTCTCATATGATTAATTTTCAACGAAGCCCAATAAAAATTGATGAAATTAAACAAAAACTTACCATTTTTTAGAAGTTTGTAAATTTTATTAGATTTACGAAAATAGAGGTATTTGTTTGAAAATCTAAATGGTGAAAAGTATTATTTCAAGAAGATAAACAACACATCTCAAACTAGCCTCATTGACGGTCATTAAAGAAATCAAAGTATTAATACGTCGAACTTTTAAGTGTATTTTCGTCAATTGTAAGTGAGTTTTTTTGAATCTTTGAATAAGAAAGAAAAGTGAAAGGCGAACATTTTGTTATTGTTCTTATCGAGAAATATGACTAATGATAAGTGGTGATTAGTTGCCTTCCCGCGGCTGAAAAGTGTAGTACAAAAATAGAAAAGTGTTTAAAAATTCAATGATAAAATTGATATTTTTTTAAAGTTTAGTGCCTAAAACGATGTTATTTGGGCATCAATAGTCGTCACCAAAACGACATCGCTTTGGTGTGGCAGACCATGTCGGCAAATTTCTATCATGTCATCATCCTATTACTAACGACAAAGTGACATAATTGAATATAAAACTAAAGTTTAGTATTATAATTGATAAAATTAAAAATTCAGTGATATAATCGAGTCAACAGATAATTTCATTCGTATAAAACGAGTCAACGGACAAAGTTTAGCGATATCTAAAGAAGTTTGCAATTTTAAATTATATGTATATAAAAACTAAAATACACTAGTGAATCCTTTTGTTTTTTTATCTATCTTATTTTGATTATTAGTTTTGAAAAATTATATTTTAATTACTTTTATTTTTAATATATCTTATTTTGTTCACTGAATCATTAGTTTCCGTTAGTTTATTGATGTGACACATTAGTACAAATAGATAAAATTTAGCTTGGCTCCTTTATTTTAGGTAGAATATTAATTTGACCTTAAAGTTTACTAATTTGATCCTAAATTTTGATGAATCTAAAACCTTCAAATTATTTAAAATTATAATAATAAATGTATTGTAATATGATTTTATTGTGATTTAAATTTATATTTTTGGTGCCCTTATTTTGAAATGAATATAATAATAAATACATTATCACATTTTATTTTAAAGGAATTTAAATGGTTCAAGACTAAGTTTGTGAAGTTTGATATATTTTTTTCTCAATGAAATAATCATTGGATTCACATCGAGGAGGTGAAAAGGGGTGAATTAGAAATTTTGGAGTTCAACGACCGTTGACGATGACCAATGACGACAACAATGATGAACGATGGTTAATAGTGAGGACTTTAACCAGATTCACGAGTTAAAATGATATTTTATCTAAAGTTTAAAGATTAAATTAGTATTTTATTTAAAATATAGGTTCAAGTTAAAATTTAGCTAATTTTGCTAACGTTCCGCGTAAGCAAACTAGTAAGTGTTAACAATCCAATGATCAAAATAAGACATATCGAAAACAAATGTGACCAAAATATATATATTTTTCAAAATTGGTGACTAAATAAGACAGAGTGAAAACAAAAGGGATCACAAATGTAGTTTACCCTATAAATAGATACTTTTTTAGATAAATAAAATATTTTGTCACTTTAATTATATATATATATATATATATATATATATATTTGGATAAATCAGAATTTTATTATCCAAGAGCAATGTAAATTTACAACCAATCACCAATCAAGACAAAAGAGCATTACAAACATACAAAAGAACAAAAGATTGATTAGACTATACTCCAAGCATTACAAAGATGGAAGTTAGTGCAATCAAGTCTGTTGATAGTTTTTCCTCTAAGCCTTATACTAACTATTTCAATGATTTCCTTGAGCAAGTTGTCAACAGTTCGAGATCTTCCTTGAAATAGTATGCGATTACATTCTTGCCACAAAAAGTAGATATAAGCATTCCATGAAATTTTCAATATAGTGGTGATTAGAGACTTCCCTTTCCACATAGAGCTGGCACGAGAGGCTATTTCTTCCCAAGTCAGTGCAGTGTAGTTCATACCATTCAATTGGAGTACAGATTTCCAGAGGTCAATAGCCAAGGGGCATTGAGAAAACAAGTGATCCATTCTTTCGTTTGATGCCCTGCAGTTTACTCATATTCCAGCAGTGATTAATCCCATGCGTTGTAAGCGATCGCAAGTGGGTAGTCTGTTCAAGATGACCATCCAAGTAATTAAGCTATGCTTTGGTAAGTGCATAGGATACCATACTAGACGGTGCCAGTGCACTTTCTGACCTTGCATTCGGATTTCCCCCCAGATTTCCTTCGCATGCAGAATACCAGAAGAATAAAGAGAGAATGCAAAATTTCTCAATTTGAGAATTCTTATAATATTCCAGCTGATATTAGACCCAATCTCAAACTGCCAGAAGTTTTGATCCTTGAAAACGTAGATATTTAGCCATACAACCCAGAGCGAACCGTTTCCTACAAGGATCTTTCTAATAAGGCTCATAATGCAAGCTTTGTTCCAAGTGGTAATATTTTTCAGTCCTAAGCTTCCTTCAGATTTTAAAAGACATATTTGGTCCCAACTAACTCTTGCTCCAGTTGTCGATTTGTCGGCTCCTTTCCAAAAGAACCTTGAGCATAGTTGATCCATTGATTTTAAAATAGAAGCTGGAAGAATTAATTGTCTACACCAGAAATTACTGACACTAAATAGAACATATCTGATTAGCTCGAGTCTGCCAGCATAGCTTAAATTTATTGTAGACCAGTGGTGTAACCTTTGCCTAATATTGTCAAGGAGTGGTTCACATTCCTTTAGAGAAAGTTTTCGAGTAACAAGAGGTATTCCAAAGTACCTAACAGACAGGCAACCTGTTTTAAATCCAGAGATAATTTTCAGGTTCTTAATATCCCTAGGGGAGATACCCGCAGAGAAGATCTCACATTTGGAAGGATTTAAATGAAGTCCAGAAACTTGATGAAACTGGTGGAGAACACTCAATACACCAGCTACTGAGTCCATATTTCTTTTGCAGAAAATCAGTAAATCATCTGCAAATGAGAGATGAGTTAACCCGATTTTCTTGTATTTTGGGTAAAAAGCAAATATTCCTTTGGCAGTAGCTATATTAAGAATTTTGGAAAGGACGTTTATTGCTATAACGAAAAGATAAGGGGAAAGAGGATCCCCTTGTCTTAAACCTCTGACCCCTTTGAAATAGCCTATTAAGGTACCATTAAAAGCAATAGAGTACCTAGCTTAAGAAAAACATATTTCAATCCAAGCAATAAATTTTTGAGGAATATGGAGGGCTTTAAGGATTGCTAATAAAAAAATCCCAATGCAAGGAGTCAAAAGCCTTATGAAGATCAATCTTCATTGAGCATCTTGGAGAGATGGATTTCCTACCATATCCTTTTACCATCTCCCGAACTGAGTAAGGAGAGCATTATAAATGATATCACGACCTCGGATAAAAGCAGCCTGATTTAAAGAGATAA